TATATATGTATATATATATGCACATACACACACACAAAATACAAAGAAATATCAAGATACCATTGATTCGAGACAGTTTTCCTCATTGTATTTGCACTAAATGAATGTAAGAGTGGTATTTAATCAGTAATATTATAAAAACTACAATAATTACCAATCAATTTTTAATTAAGCATATGAAAAATGCCACAAAGTAAATGCCATGAACATTTCCAATTGCTGATTTTGCAAAAGGGAAAATTTATTCATTGTAATGGACTCTTTGCATTTCAATTTTTATTAAAAAGTTTAAATATTGACGCTCTCCAGAGATTACAAAACTAATCAGCTAAAAAAAAAAAAAAAATTAATAATAATATTAACATTAAAAATAACATTAAAAGTATTGCAATTTTCAGTATAAATGTAAATTACCACACATCATTGCAAATGGTTCCAAAACGAGACGTCCCATTTTGGTGTCCACATCAAATTGAATTTACAAAAGTAAGTTTATATACAGTACATAGAAAGCAGATTAAATGCAATCAAATAACTTTTGTAAAAATAAAATGTCAAAATATGGATGAAATGTTTCATCATTCAGTGTAAAATATATATTTATGTAAAAACTGAAACAACATTATTCTGACTAGTCTTAAAAGTTTTTTTTTTTTTTTTATCAGTTTCATAAACATGTAAATTGGTCTAATTTGAATGCAAAATGTAAGACTGATTACCACTTAGTTAACTGCTAGTTAGTCAAACTAGTTCTTAAGACACAGTCTTAAAATGTTGACTATGTTTATTCAACTGGCCTGTGTACTTATTATAATATATAAAAGAATAAGTGATCATAGTAAGTTTTATTACATTTTAAATGACTAAAACATTTTGCTGACAATCGGGTAAAAGCTAGTGGTTTGATGGATAGTGGCAAAGATTATTAAAGATTTACAATGACAATTAATTCGTTTTTGAGATCTGCACTGTGAGTTAATGTCATCTAATGATTCTTGTTCTAAATATTACAAGCTATTTTTACGCTGAATGACATTTCAGTGGGTGTCTTCTGTAAATTATGGTAAAAATGTATGATTGTTATTATTTTTTTGCTAAAAAAAACAGGACACATTCTAACGTATGGAGGAAAAAATACAAAATTACTGTATAAAATTTATATTGTTTTGATGCTTGAAAATTGACTAAAATATACTGTAAAACCTTAATATTGCTCAGACATACACAACTTAAAAACAAACTTAAAAACACACTACATCACTTTTTCGGTGTTGCTAATGCATTGCCAATGTAGCCAAACACATGTATAAATAACCTGATTTAGTTTGGCCCACATACATCTAGAAGAAATTCAAGCCTTACGGCCAAACTTGAGCTTGATCTGTCCTAGTCGACTAGCCTGACGCCATCCGCACACTTTGAGACACATTCGAGAATTGACTCATTTAAATGCACAGCGCATGCATGCATCTTTCTTGGCTTTCATTGTGCAGCTATGGATTTTTTTTTTTTTTTGCATGGAAAAATAAACAGTAGGCATGCAACCAAAAACGCATTCTGCAGTCCTACCTTTCCGACGTAAAGCGGCTCCGTACCGGTGTATTCCTCCACGACGAAGAACTGATTCCAAACCCATCCCCTCTTCACCCGTTCATGGGACATCGGCCATTGCTCGGGACCTCTTCCCATCATCCCGACACTAGTCCTTACGGTCTGAGCGGACAGCCATGCGCAGCACTGCAGAATTCCCAGAGTCACTACCAAAGCCTGAGCTCCTCCTCTCCAGCAGGGAGCCATGTTTGAAAACTCTTTTGTCTCTACATGGGGCAGAAGTCAGAAACTCGTTCAAGATGAAGTTCTGAACCGCCTGATTGCTTGAGAAAAGCTCCTTGACTCTGGGGTTGAGGAAGGTAAACAAGAGATCGCCGCTGCTCAATGAAACTATAAATCCAATCGGGTTTTGGTCATGGTAGAGGCCACCGGGTCCTCAAGAGGGCATTTAAGAGGAATCTTTCTGGGGAAGATGAGGCCGTTTCGGTGATACACAGCTATAGCTCCTCCGTTTTGATATCTGTTGGGTTTCTCAATGACGGGAACCAATCACAAAGCCATTGAAGTCCTATCTGTGCTCGAGTTGAGTTTTAAGTTGAATAGCTACTTGACGAAAGCACAAACATGTCAAAAAACTTTTGTTTTATGGTTCAATCTTGGCAATCCCATTGTGAAATGTAGGAATGGCATTAACAAACAAGGTGTAATCCAAACATTTTCTCCATTTAATTTCCATATGTACGCTTCAAATCCCAAAGACAAAAAAGCAATCCTCAAATGTCATGGATGCGAGATGTTACTCAAAATCAGAGGCATCATTATCCCAATCTAGATACATGTGCCACGGACTCTTACGCCTCACCGTAGCTTAAAAGGTACTTCTTGACCTGCAGGGTTGAGAGTTTGACATCAACCTCAGCATCTGATCACCTGCAACAGAGCAAAGATAGCTGGTTAGAGAAGCAAAAGACCTAATGTAATGGGAAAAATAAATGGAAAATTATAGCTGGCCATGCAGAGCTAACTAACTAACTGAGTGAACTAACTGTTAGATGATAGATTGCTAAATAGATATTTGACTACTGGTTAACATTAACCAATGACCAGCACTGCCTAGCTGATAAAAAGAAAGGAAAGCCTCAAAAGAAAGGTCATGAGAAAATAAATGTTATTTTTTAGAGTGAAGTAAATATTTAAAGCACAGTTTTCTAAGTTTCAAGTTAATTAAGTTGAATATTATTATTTGTATTCTTTTTTTTATTTTATTTTTATAATAATTTCATATTTTCATAAAATTTAATATTTTTTTGTTTTCTTTATTAATTTAATTTAAATACTTATTTAAAAAATATTTTATTTATTTTTATTTTATTTTTCCATTTATTGCTTTTTCCCTTTACATATGGTCTTTTGCTTCTCTAACAGTTATCTTTGATCTGTAATAATAATAATAATAATAATAATAATAATAATAATAATAAATTCAATCCATTAGAGCAGCAATATTTATTATTATTATCATTATTAAAAGATCACATAAAAAGGGAAAAAGCAATACTTTTAGCTGATTATGCAGCTTTAAGATGGGATCCAGTTGCAATAAGTCAATAGTGGAACAAACTGTATCGATCCTTGACTTCTTGTTATGGCGTTCTCATTCTTGTTAAATAAATACATAATTAAATCCATGCCACAGTGAATTTGCCGTCCCTCCCGACACACAAAACACTTTTAAAGTGGTCGCGGATCTTTGTTCTTTGATTTTCTCTTGGATTCCACAGGACTGCAGCAAGAAAATGCAGCTTCATTTAGGTGATCTACCTGAAAAGCATTTCTCAAAGCAGAAACTTTGTGCTCAGCAAGAATCCGGATAATGGGCTAAGCCCAAGAGCAATGTCTTCTGTGTTAGGGAGCCAGGTGTGGCTGGAAAAGCAAAAAGGGAGGTTTATATATTACGAACTTGAGACCAAAGCATCTGTCTGCCGAGCTGCAGCCCACGGCAGGCGCTTACACTCGAGGCTATCTGATTAATTGCATGAGGGAGCACTAATTGGATAAAAGTATTCATCAATTAATTCAATCCATTAGAGCGGCAACCCTAACGCTTAAAACAAACACTGGTCAGGAAGGTGAAGATAAGCTATGGCCCCATTGTGCCTCAGCCAAAGCGCCACTGGGCAAGGGAAATGATTAATGGTCTTTGAGGCTTTCAGAATAAGAGAAAAACAACATTTAGCATGGCTGAAATGTCACAACCTCAAGGCTAAAAGATTACAGCTCCTGTGGATGAGCACCGGCCAAGAAAGGCCCTTCAGGATATTGGTTGTTTAACCTTTGGCAGACGGTTGCTGCGGGTTCATGTCTGGAGGAAGGCCAACGAGCGGTCTGCGTTGTCTAGCTAAGACATTCTTACAGAAACATCCCAAAAGAGAAACGACCTTCTAAAAAGGGCGAAAAATTAAATACTCATAGCCAGTGCTGGGTAGTAGCCAGAGGTGAACAGTAACTAAGTATTTTTACTTCGTTACTGTACTTAAGTACAACTTTCAAGTATCTGTACTTTACTGGAGTATTTCTATTTTGGTAAACTTTTACTTTTACTTCACTACATTCCAAATCATAATGCACTTGTTACTCCACTACATTTCATAAAAACATGTCGTTCCTCGTTCCATTTTGAACTGGAGAAATTGTCACACACTACGATATGCGATAGCGGTGTCTGATTCGTGAACTAGCTGATTCTTTTTAATCGGTTCACAAATAGCAATTAACGATTCATTTGTGAATTTGAATGATTCAATTGGATCTGTTCTCGAGTCAGCAACTCACTGATTCAAATGATTCGAATGCAATAGAATGCGAGATCCTCGGAGCTTGAGTGCGCGCACGACTGATGGTGGGAAAAGTACGTTACTAATGCCGAACTTAAGCATTTATTATTTCATATTAAGCTCACGGCTGTCTGTTGTTTGCGAGCTAAAGCTAACGACTGTAAAAGGGCTGTATAAATCCACTGCATGAAATGCTTGAATGTAGACATGCCCATATTTGTGTAAAACTAGTTTGTTTGCATAGCGTTCTTCTTAAAATACTAACACAGTTTGCCCAATGTGATGACTGTTTTTATATTGTATGTTTATATTTGGTAACACACATTTTGTTTTTCCTCATTTTTATATACTGTACTATATGGTATATTTTGTTATTTTCACTTGTTTGCACACATGAATTATCAGTCATTTTTAGTAGTAGTTATCAGCGTTATGACATGTATTTTTAGCAGGAGATTAGAATTGCAAAATAATTAAATATTTATCAATCTGTACTTTTTACTTTTAATGCTTAACTTTAAAGATCAAGTACTTTTACCCAAGTAAATTTAAAAATGAGTACTTAATAATTTTACTGGAGAAATATTTTTTATGGTATCTGTACTTTACTCAAGTAAATCTTGATTTGTGTACTTCGTCCATCTGGTAGTAACTGATTACATGTAATCTGGATTACGTAATCAGATTCCGAAAATTAATTACTCAAAATTAATGTATTACATTTTAAAATGCTTGTAATCAATCAGATTACAGTTACTTTTTATGGATTACATGATTACATATTATTCACACAATGGCAGCAGATTATTCATAATTTATTTATTTTTTCTCTTTAAAAGTTTCCTTTCTAAAAATGTGTCATATTATTGTTTTATTTAAAAAAAAAGTATATATATTTTAATTTTATATTTTTGTGATTTCATTAATTATTAGCTCTTTATCAACAGTCAAACCCACTGGAGTTATTACATTAACCCCAATTTGGGAAACCCTGGAGTAATGTGATATTTAATGCATTTTATGTTGTTGATATCAAAGAATGAAACATGTTTTTTTTCTCTGTGCTTTTTATATCAGTGTGGTACATTTAATGGTAGGTTTATGACAAGTTAGGCAAAAAGTAATCTAAAAGTAATCTAAAAAGTAGACAGAATACAATACCTAAAATGAGTAACCTAGATTGCATTACTAACTATAAGTGTCATCATATAATCTGTAATCAGTAACAGACTACAGGTTTGTACGAACAACTGACAGTGATATGCATTAACACCGTGGACATAAATGGCAAATTTCTGTCTGAGAGAAGATTAGAGGACATAAACACAAAGCTGTCTCAAGAACCTGGTAAAATTAGCACGTACAATATGTTTACCATCCCTGAGTGATGCAATCACCTCATTATCACCCTTTAGGAAGACAGTTAGGTCTGGTGATCTTCTTTTATCACAAACCGAGAGAGATTTCCAAGCAAGCAAAGTGAGAATGTCCAGACACCATTTGGACGCAGATGCTTTCGTTATCATGCTAAAAATACCACATGCAATTTACACAGTAATAGGATCCAGCCTATTGCAATCTTATCGCACAGTACTCATGCTAGCATTGTAGCAGATGGTAAATAGAGAAACCCCGCCTTTAGTTTTGATCTTTATTCCTAAAGATAAACACACACAGTTCCCTTTCAGTCAGTCACGTTCAACGTTACGTCAGTCGTGACTGACGAATTGGGATCTCGCCCGAGAGCCCAATCACCTTCGAGTGTTAACTAAACAAGCCAATGACAGTTGGCGTGCGTGTTTCGCCACGCGCACCCCGCCCCACAGCGCGGGTATAAAAGGAGAGCGCGTGCAAACGCACATCAGCTTTTCGCTTCGGAGCCGAGCCTTCTACTAGGACGAATCTCCGCGAGTGTCTACAAAGAGACAGCCTAGCGTTGGTGTTACAGCGCATCAGCGGGGGTTGCCATTCAGTGCTGCTCATCTTCGGCGTGCTGCAGCTGCCATTCTGCGGTCTCGCCGCGACCTCCCCTGGGCGCTTCAGCGCTCTCTCTAAAAGAGTGTTTCCTTTTTTTCCTAAAAGAGCAAATATCTAAAAGAGCTCCACGAGCGACCACATCCCGCTCGTGCGTTTCTGGATGTGGTCGCTTCCTGGCTTCATCTGATGGTCATGATCGCTGTGTGTCGTGCCTGGGCTTACAGCACGCTGAAGCAGCGCTCATGGATGAGTCATGTTCTCAGTGCGGGAACATGACCATCGCGATGTTGCGGTCTAGATACCTCCTCATTAAACGGGGGGGTATCCCCCTTGCCATGCCCCGCTCTAGCTCCTCCGGTTCTCGGAGGGCTACTTCGGTTCATGGTCAGGGAGACCTGAGGATCACGGTGAGAGCTT